CCTCCTCCAATTATAATGCTCAGACCAGAATAAGTAGTTTAAAGAAGCTGCCCCTCGTGTAGGAGGAAGAGCAGGATGACATAATTTGACTTTAACTTTTGAAAGGTCTTGCAATCTGACAAAAAGGCCTGTCGTCTGATGAGCTCCACTCCGAGAAACCACCTGGCAGAAATCGACTCAGGCAGTCATTAAGACAGCCCAGAATTGGGGTCAAGGACCTCTGTGTGAATGTAATTCAAGTCTCCTTTTTACTCCAGCATGAGGAAGTGGGGGGGAAAAGTGCTTTTGAAATGGCAGATTTATCAAAATGAAATAGATCCCTGAATTGATGTCTTGCATTGAGGAGCTGAGAGAGAGCCTTTTTCTTCCTTTTTCTCTCTCGTACTATTTCTTCCTTTTATTCCTACATAGCAGTTGCAGACTGGGTCAATTGATTTGTATGCATTAGATGAGTAAAAGATATGGAGAGGAAGACTGATTGAGACTAATTAAGAGTAGACTGTGACAAAGAGCTAGAAGGGACGGTCAAAAGCGAGACAGACCTTATTCACCAGCCTAAAACACAGATATAAGGTATGTCTCCCACTTCAGAGATCCATTGTTACCACTTTGTTCTGGTGACTTGACAGGCAAAAAATAGTCTCTTTGATTCCTTGTGTACTATGCACGGGTATAAGTGCAGTGTTTCAGAATAAAACCTCACCACTGTTATATACAATCAGTCGGATAAACTCTGTTTAACCCACCAACACAATGCCCATAAGATATCACTGATCTCAGGAGCAATTACAGAAATCCCTTTGCAGATAGCATTTGCGTTACCGTAGATGGTTAGAGAGGGGCAGAGCAAAAGTATCAATAAGGCCATACTGATACGCTTAAGCAAAGACATATTATTGACACCAGCAATAATGGCATTCTATATAATGTATCAAAGGTCCCCACTATTAATAATAGTAATAATAATCAAAGCAATTCCAATAGGGTCCTTGCAGTGTCAGTGCTCAGACCCTAATCTCTTAAATCAGGGTTTCTGCAAGTTTAAGTCGACAAGACTTTTTAAGACAATAAAAAATGACATTTAAGACCTATGTGAAGTTGGACAGAAATGAAGGAATATCAGACTCCCAAAAGTTCTTACACTTCTCAATAACTGAATTTAAGGTAAAGAAGCCTAGTAGTAAATAATCCTCCATATCTCACAAACTGCAGGCACAGAAAGTAGGTGTCCATAATCTTTCCCACAGCAAAGCGGAATATATGAGATGAATTCTTATCAGGGAGTTTGAAGACTCAGTTATTAATTACATGTTGGTCTTATTTATAGTTTTATAACAGTGTGCTAATATTTGTATAATTGAGAAGGGGCTAAAACACAGACACAGACATTACAAACAATGTTTGCAGTCAAAACATTTCTCAAATTCAAATTTCAAAGCATGACATAGGTGTTGAATAAATATTAGCATCGTTAAGACCTACCTAAAGGTATGTAAGACCTAGAACATAATATTTCAACAAAAGTAAGACTCTTTGAAGGTGGTATGGTGATGTAATGGTGAGCATGTCACCTCACAGCAGGAAGGTTACTGGTTAGAATGCCGGTTCTTTCTGTGTTGAGTTTGCATATTACATGTCCATATTTTCGAGGGTTTTCTCTAGGTACGCAGACTTCCTCCCACAGTCAAAACACAGGAACATTGGTTAGGTTCAATTTGATTGGTTGTTTGTCTCTGTCGCTCTGTTTTATTCTGGCGACCTGTCCAGGGTGTACCAGCTCTCGCTGTGACCCTAAAAGGATAAGTAGTTGATAATAGATGGAAGACTAGGCCTAAAATTTTGATTTCTAAATTCTAGACTTTAATATGCCACAGAAACCCTTTAAAAAAGGAGCTGAACCTGTTCTGCTGCACTGTGTGTGATGTTGTGTGTACAATCTAAACAGGCATGCCCTGCACTAGTAACATCCTCTCATAAATTATCTAATCATCCAGGCGGAAGTACAGACGTGAATGAACAGAATTAAATAAACATCCTCTCCTGGTAACACTAATGACACCCAGAGATTCTTTGGCACCACAGAAACACCCATAGGATCCCCAAACGAAAATCAGAGCATAGTTTTGAATTATCTTGCTTGTAGTTAACTATCAAATCTGCTTCACAATCAAACCCAATCAGTGACATAAATATCTAATTATATCACAAGTCAAAGTGATGTAATCAAAGAGTTTAAGATGCCCATGGCACTGAGAAATATGGAACTGAACACAAATAAACTAGGAAAAAAAATTCAGTTACAGCTTAAGCTACACATAAATGCCCTTTTTCTTAAAAAGTTCCATTATTGGTAACTTTGTTACTTTGAAGATTCTGCTTATAAACATAAATCATGACGTTCGCATTCAAAGTTATGAATTGTTACAATCTGAACATCCAACAATACATTACATTTTTCAAATTAGCAATTTTACGAACCAACTGCAATGGTAAAAATGCTAAGTAATACTCACCAAAATAGACTGCATAACTCTGCCAAGGCCACACTTCAAATTTGATTCTGTCAAGCTACAGCAAATTGCACACACAGGGAAAATGTCTGAAAATGCCCTTTGCAATGTTTAAGAAAGTGATTAGAACATGTCCTGAATCCACACCTTTGTCGGGATCTGTGCCAAACTTTAATGGGTTCTTTTTGGCCCATGTCCCATCCCATCCCAAGTTTCGTGGAAATATGTTCATTGTAATCTTTGTGTAACCCTGCTGAACAACCAACCAGCAAACATTCAACCAACCAATTAACCAACCATCCAACAAGAAAACCATCCAACCAACTGACCAAACCACCCAACCAACTGACCAAACCACCAACCAACAGCCATTCAACCAACCAACCAACCAAGCAATCAACCAACCAACATCTATTCAACCAACCAAAGATCTTCTCAACAATTTGGTATCCAAATCAGTCTCTTTATCAAATCCAGTGGTTTTCTAAACAAGGAGAAAATAGTAAAAATGCAGTTGAATAAATTACATGGAACATTGAAATGACTGATTCTTCCATGAGGATTACAAGACTCACTGCCAACAAAATAAAAACAGCTAATTGTCTTGGAGATTAATTTCCCATGTTCCATCATTGAGTTGGGCTGTGTGTCTACACTCCAAAT